CAACTTTTGGGTCAGATCAATTAGGGTCACATCAAGGTTCCTCGTATGAAAATTCTTAACGAACTAGCCTTATTACTCATGAAGAGAAAAAAAACCAAATCATTGGCTTGCTCTTTTGTGTATACGACACCTATTCTCTCCAATTTGTCAATGTACGATTTCATTTTCAGAATATGTACACACATATAATTTCCATGTTTATGTTTACATGACAATAGGGCTTGATTCGGTTCATATCTTTCAACTCGAGGAAAATGTGACGTTTTGAGAGTCTATTGGGGAGGATGTGGAAGAGTTGAAGAAGGACAATGTCTAATTTCACCATTAGCCAAAGAAGGGAACACATTTTCACCTTGATAAGAATGTGGAAGACCATCTCCAGATAATCGAGGAAAAATATTTCCCAAAGAATGAAGAAGACAATCATTTTCTTGGTTTGACTTCAAATATTGGGAGAAGTGAGAATTCAAGTTAGTTGATTTAATTCTTAGTTATTAACCTAAATATAAAATAAGGCTAGGATATATATTTTCGAATCGAACATTAAAGAGGGATGTTGTAATCAAATTTGAATCTATTTTAGGTAGGTAAGGCTTTTACTAATTTCAATCTTATGAAACTCCTAGATCTTTTTTAGATTCTTTGAATCTTATCAATGTCATGTTTAATCTCGGATTATGCTATCTCCTTTTAATATTGGGATGCCGAGGATCACAAACGAGATGTGAATAACCATGCAAAACCGCTTGACAACCTTAAGGTCATTTATCATCTCAAATTGATGTGCCAGTAAACCGCACATGCTCTATTAACAATAATAATTTATGATTTGTCCATCACACAACTTTATAGTCCTAACTTTATGTGTCATTTAATGAGCGCACACTCCATTAATGATATATAAAGTGTGATGTGTTGTTTCATGTATTAGCATACACTTCACATTATTCATAAAGTACCTAGAGCGAGATTTTAAAGTGAGTTTTACAACTTTATAGTATCATCCTTTTAATGATGTTATGTCTTATCAAATTCATTCGGCTAACGACCCTCCACTATACAAGGGAGCAGTGGATAAGAGTGGATACCCAACGACAATCATTTTATAGGTCATTTCCTTATACCTCTTTATAGTATAGATTCGTGGATGAGGCGTACAAGTGATTTGAATGACTTGTTATATAAATATAATATATTAAATTTTTAATCATATAGTATAATGTATATTTTAAAACTTTTCAAAATACTAGGGTTTACAATTAATTTTCGAATTAAACTTTATAATTAATTAATTTTAAACAATTAATGATTCACCAATTATCCTTTAATAAACCAATTAAATAAATTTAAATCATTAGGGATTTAAATAGTGATCTTCAATCAAACAATTAATAAAATAATTCAAATTTAAATCATTATGGATTAAATAATTATCTTCAATTAAACAATTAATAAAATAATTCAAATGTAATCCTAATCTTTTAACCCTTATAATTTTCGAAAAAGGGGTAAGGGTTACCATGTTTTAATTACCTAAATTTTAAGGCATTTAAAATTGTAATTAAGGAAAGTAGAAAACCTAAGGGATCCTTCCAAATTTTTTAAAACAAGGGTGGAGGCTAGGGTTTCAAGAACCCTACACTTTTGTGAAAATTAAAGGCCATTAGGATTTAATATCCATAAGCCCTAACTTTGATCAATTCACTATTACACAATCAATTAGAAAACTAAGGCTCTGATACCACTAAAGGATTTTCTATTATGCAATAGCCTATGAACATCAAGAAACCTTAGAGAGACACTATGAAAATCGAAATTAACATAAAGATTCGGGTTATATACCTTTTGATTATTATAGAAAATAATCAAATAAAAGCCTCTTGAAGTTCCTTGGAAAGAAAGCATCAAAAGGATGATACCTCTAATGGCTCACACCCAAAACTAGAAACCCTAGAATGAGGTGGAGAGAGGAGATATAAAGGGAATTTTGGTTTTATGCCTTTAGGTAATGTGGTCAATGGAATTTTTAAGTCAATGGGTCCTATTTATAGTATAGGTAACAAGACGGAAAACAAGATTTGAATTAATTAAATAATAGATTTACTCCTAATTCAAATCTTTTACTTTTAAGTAGCAGGAGGCTTTTGGAAACACTAAGGAACTACATAAAACCATCTAGTATACGGATGTTTTAGAATTGCTTGTGTTATTCAACAATTCAACAATTACATTTCACACCTTGCACCTTCAAATAATTCCAATTAATTCCGAATTAATTCTAGATTAATTCTGATTAATAATTAATCAATTCTAATTGATTTCAAATTAATTTATTAATCATCTTTAACAATTGATCTCATATTAATTTATTAATCACATAATAACTTAACAAAACTGTTTATTTCCAATTAATATACGAATTACATAATATACTAACAAATCATTTTCGTATAATTTCCAATTAGTTTATTAATCATACTAGTTGTGAAACCTGTATATTATACGGGTTAATTAAAACATAATGTTAAAAGGGAGCGATTAAATGAAAATTTTATTTGAATTTGAAATATGAAATTAGTGACAATTATGAAAAAAAACATGCAAAAAATAAATTAATTAAAATTAGGTGTTTAATTGTTAGACCCGTGTACTAAACGATTTATTATAATAAAATGTTAAATACAAATGTTTAAAGTGTAAATTTATTTGAAATTGAAATTGAAATTGAAAATTGAAAATTGAAATTTGAAATTTGAAATTAATAGTTATTATAGTATGTTTAATTTATGGAAACTAAATTAATGATATAGTGGAAATGAATAATGAAGTAATTGACAAGTGGAAAATAAATATATTTTAAAATTATGACAAAATAACATGTGGACAAATAAATAAGAGAATGACAAGTGGCAATAACATTTTCATTTATTATGGTAGATAATAATAATCTAATAAAGTGCACTTGTCTCTTATAATATTATTTTTAGCTATTTCTAATAAGGGAAACCTAAAATTAACTTTGTTTCTAATTAAAAAAAATATCAATTTAATTAATGGCATAGACACATTAATCCAACATCCACTTCCTTTGAAAAGTTGGTGCGACGTCATCTCTTGATTGTGATTTTGAGGTGTTTGAGCTTAACCGCCATTATCATGTCTAGGGTACGTACCAAGTACCATGAATCGTGTCCATGTGTTTCAAACTAATGAGTCATATCCATCGTAGTGCAACCACCCATGAAGTAGTCGGAATGGGTTTGGGCTGAAATCGAGCCTTGATGTTGAGAGGAGCCCATTAATCTATAGAATTGCGAATTTATTCTTTCTTAGGTGCTGTTTGATTTTCTGAAGCAAAAATTCATGAAGTCTGCAGACTACCTCTGCAACCCTCTGCAGTAGAAGAGGTGGATCAAACGGCTGCAGACTATAATAAGAAGCGTGTTTGTTTTTTTAACATCTGCATACTGCTGCAGATATTAAAAAATTAAAATAAACTAATTTTATAAACCGAAAATAGCTTTTTAATACGTAAAATTTAATAATGTATAACATTTCGGTAAATATTAATGATATTTCGGTAATAAAGAATGATATTTCAACAAAAAATAAAGATATTTTAGTAAAAAATAATGATATTTCATCAAGAAATTATCATTATTGAATATAAAAAAATGAAAAATAAATTCAATAAGAATAAACGGAAAAAAAACGGAAAAAAAATGTGAAATAAAATTTTAATAACATATAATCAAAATTTCAGCACTAAAAAAAGAAGAAGAAGAGGTTGGAAGAAGTTAGAAGAGGCAGTACAAGTGCTGCGCCAAACAGAGCCTGCGCAGAGGTTTTTAACTCAGAAGATTTCTAAAAAACAAACAGCTGCGAGATGAAAAGTGTTGCGCGTGTGCTGCGCCACGTAGCAGTAAGAGGTTTGAAGAGGTTTTTTCCAAAAAACAAACAGCACCTTACTGTCTTCGGACAACGTTGAAGTCTACAAATATTATCTATGTGCCTTGTTTTGCTTTTTTTTTTTTTTTTTTTTTTTCATTATATCGTCACACAATGTTCGTTTATCTATCGGAGCTTATAACACATACATATTTGCTATGGTAGTCTCCCCTTGCAACCCTAACCAACTACCAATTCTGATGAAAATTTGATTTGACCTAATGACTTCAACAACATTGTAAATTTTATAGTCCCAAATGCTTATTAAACCCCCTGATCTACAAGTCCCCTGGTCACAAAATTCGTTGACATCTATGTTGTCTGATTGGAGGAGCTACGTTTTTTGTATTCCCATATACGAAACTTTGTGATGAATTTTTAAGCGTCCGACTAACCTGACTTTTGGATCCTCCCCAACACCTCTAATGTTAAGAGACATTATATTCATTGTAAATTGATTGATACACCAACTTTCCCAATAACTTCAGTGACAATCGGGTTTCCAGATCTTCCCAACGCTGCCAATCGTTGTTTGTAATTGCAAGTGGGTGGCATCTCAGTCACTGGATCATTGAGGTCAGCCATGGGTGTGTTGAATTAGGGGGTAATCTAGAAGTGTTGCTATTCGTTCTCCGTCTTTTTAACCTGGACCATCCGACCCAGGGCAAGTCAATTAGGGATAGGGCTTTTGTTGATATTGGATGGGAATAGGCCAAAACACCGGGAAAGAACTAGCCCATTTGGTTGACTTGGGCCAAATGAAACAAGGATCCAGTTTGAGATGCTTGGGGGGTTCTCGATGTTCCAGAAATTAACTTTGAGATTTTTTTTTTCATTGGAATTTAAAGAATCATGGATACAAGTTGTCGCTTCGATTAGCACCGCCGGTAGGACATTCCGACGACATATTCTATGGTTTGCGGCAGTACTTTTTCATATTGATAAATTTCGCCCGTATCTTCTCTTGCGTATTGCTGTTAGACCCATGTTTTAGAGACACCTTTGGAGTTTTCATCTTCCTCATCATCTTCCTCTGCCTTGTATAGTTTGCCATGCAGATCAAACCGAAAGGGAACCAATCCTCGTCAAACTCAATAATTCCAACACTCATGACATCGCCATACGCCGATATCATTATCTCCCTACAAGAATACGAAGTTACTGCGCCGACACCTATCCCCACGACACCCGTCGTCGCTACAAGACTAACTATGTTGACGACATGTGGCCGCCATAATTTTGCCAATTTTGACCAAATTTCTTTGACTAGGATATCTGTGCCGACGATATTTCGTTACTACAAGTCTGGCGGGAACGATCAAATTATTCGTGGTATTCTGAAAATCTATGTTGATGACAAGTCGTCGGTATAGGTATTGAGAAAACTATTTTTGATTTATTTTTATTCCATGGTGCAGAATATCAGAATGACATAGTTTTTTGGAAGCTATTCCGACAACAAGTTGTCGGCATGCCACATGGCGATCCGCGTGAAATGTCTATCCCGAACACTTGTCGTCGACACAACTTTTTATTTTTATTTTTTACTTTTTTTTTGTTTCAGTAAAAAATGGAACGACATTGTTTATGTAGACCATATACCGAAGATATGTCGTCGGCATAAGGGTTTACCCTAACAGATCACAATCGGTCGTTCATTTGCACAACAACGTCAAAACCATTTTCTCTCCCAATGAAAATCAAAATCGGGCTTCCATAACCGATGATTAGCACCAGGTAATCTCTCCATCTATCTTTTTACTCTTAATTCTTTCTTTATTCTTGTGTGGTTAAGGTATCTACCCCGAACTTGGTTTTTTTTTTTTTTTTTTTTGTTGGTGTTTATAGCTGTTCACCGACTTTTCCTTCACCTCCATTCATCTTCCACCACCTCTAGCCTTCCCCACCAACGACTCCACCCTCCTTCCAGCTTCTCTTCTTCACCGCCACGACATGTAAGAATTTGGTGGGTTTTTCTGGTTTTTTTTTATTTGTATGATTTTGTTTATTTCTGGTGACCAGCAACCACCATCGGAGGATCACCATTAAATTAGTCAATCAGAATCCGGCCATCAGAGCAAGAAGAACGAAACAGGGTAGTTTTTTTCTAATGTTTATTAAAATTGAAATTGACTATTGTATGATTATAGGATGGTGTTGTTTGTTTGATATGTGTATGATTGTGTTGTTTGTTTGGTATATTGTGCTGTTTGTTTGGTTTATGTATGTTGTTTGTTTGTTTATGTTTATATGACATGAATTTGTGTGTATAAAATGTTAATTTACTTGGTTAATGATATACGGAAGTGAAATGGTGTTTAAAATATTACATGAAATTGAAATTTGTTTAGGTACATATGAAATTGAAATTGTATGTATATAATGTTAATTTACTTGTTTAGGTTTTTATGAAATCGAAATTTTGTATGATTATGAAATATCTATGATTGTTCTCTTTTTTTAGGTTGATATTAAAATTTTTATGTATAAAAATATAAAATATGTATGCTTGTGTTACTTGTTTAGTTTATTAGCTTGAGTGTATGAAGTGATAAAGTGCTTAATTTTTAAGTTAAAATGTTTATCTTTAAAATCATGATAAGTGCTTAGTGATAAGTTAAAGTTTTGGTATTTAATTATGAAACATGATTGTTTAAAATACAATGTTATAATTGAAAAATAAAACAAAAGTAAATTGTTATAATAGAAAAAAAAAGAACAAAATATTTAAAGTAGGATGCTATAATTGAAAAAAAACAAAAATAAGTGAAATATAATGTTTTTCATAAACAAACTAATAAAAGTGTGTTTATTAAGAACAAAGGTTATTAATAGCAAGATAAAACAAAATATAAAAATATTTAAACTAATTAAAATACATTTATTAAGAACAAAAATACGTTTATTAAGAACAAAATATTTGAACTACAAAGGTTATTAATAGTAACATACTTCTATTAGCTTGTTTATTAAAACATTTTTTTCATTCCTATTTTATAGTAATAACATAATACAAAATAATAAAACTAGTTGTTGTTAAAAGTACAATGCTATAATAAAACCAAAAAACCAAATAATATTAAAAGTACAATGCTATAATTGAAAAAAAAAGATTCTATACTATAAATATGAAAGAGAAGTGAAACTAGAATGCTGTAAACAAACTAATAAAAGTATGTTTATTAAGAACAAATGTTATTAATAGGAACATAAAACAAAATATAAAAACATGTAAATTAATAAAAGTGTGTTTATCTAGAACAAAAGAATGTTTATTAAGTACAAAGGTTATTAAGAACACAATATTTAAACTACAATGGTTATTAATAGCAACATGTTTTTTGTTAGCTTGTTTATTAAAGTATTTTATTTTCATTTCTATTTGATAGTTATAACATAAAACAAAATAATAAAACCATGTTGTTATTAAAAGTACGATGCTATAATAAAACAAAAAACAAAATAATATTAAAAGTACAATGCTATAATTGAGAAAATAAGATGCTAAATATACTATAAATGTGAAAGAGAAGTGAAAATAGAATGTTGTAAAGAAACTAATAAAAGTATGTTGCTATAAAATTAAATTGAGTAGTTGATTTTTAGTTTACGTCTCTTCTTTATAATCATTAAGAGCCTAGAAATACCTGCCTAAAATTGATTTAAAAATTAATTTCGGGTTGCCCCCATTTTGGGACTGCTTTTTGAATATTTTATCTCATTTAAGATGTGAATGTGTATTGCATAATTTTTTTAAAGAAAAATTTGGTTGTCATTTTTTCCTTGGTCGTCGGGAATATATTTCTTTATATACTTGGGAGCCAAGGGAAAATGTTGCCGATTTTTTCTCAAAAACCAGTCATGCAATACACATTCACATATGAGATAAGATATTCAAAAAGTGGGTTTAGAAGCCTACTCTTGTGAATATTCTATCAATTTTGTCCAATTTTTACTCCAAGGGTATATATTTCTTTATATACGTGTGAATAAGCTATCCATTCCGTCCAATTTTTTCTCAAATAAAAAGTCATGCAATACACATTCACATATAGCCATAATACATTTAACTATGTATACAATGTAATTTTTAATAATGAAACAATAATAATGATTGATAAGAGTTGGATTCGTGAAAACCGAACATCCCCAAAACTCTTGGAAGGTCTTAAAAACTTAATGGAGATTGCTAGGAAATATGTTGATTCTGAAGACAAAGTGCGTTGTCTGTGCATAAAGTGTCTGAATATGTATCGACCGTTGTTCAGTATGGTTTATGCCGACATACATGTCCGTAAGTTTCTAAAATCGTATACTATATTGCATCATCACGATGAGAAAACGTCATGTTTCAGATTTAGGCTACAATTCGACTCCAATAAACATTCCAACAACTAAGAAGATGTTTGATGTAATTGATGATGTTATAGCGGAACAAAATACAAATGAAGAAAATACAGATGATGAAGGATGAGGCATGGACCCAGAATTTGATGCTTTCTTTGAGGAGCTCAATACCGTCTTATACCCTGATTGTGAGATGTCTTCTTTAAACTTTTTGGAAAATTTGTTTCATATTAAATTGATCAATAAATGGAAAAATATTTCATTTGACCAACTTGTAGACTTGCTAAGAGTTGCTTTCCCAAAGAGCAAGATTACAACTTCACACTATGAAGCTAAGAAAAAGTTGAGGAAGATAAGGTTAGGATATCAATCCATCCATGCTTGCAAATATGAGTGTGCTTTGTTTTGGAAGGAGAATCAATCCATGAAGAATTGTCTGATTTGCAACGAGAGTAGATGGGTGGGCACAACCACAAAGGGGAAGCGAGTACCACAAAAATTGTTGCAATACTTTCCTTTAACTCCAAGGCATTGACAGATGTATAGTTCCAGATTTACAGCTAATGACTATAAATAATATGGTTGTTATCGTTACCAGTCATGAATGGTATGTCGGTGAAATGTGGTATGATGATAAACAATACATCTTAGCCACACAAGCTAAACACGTATTTTATCTCCAAGATCCTACTCAAAAAAATAACTCGAGAGTTGTGGAAGGGGTTCATCATCGAAAACTCTAGAATTCTCAAAGTATCAGTGTGGTGAATGATATAGATGTCGTGAACGACACTCAATCAACTGATTTTACCTTGGTTGTCGACTCAGGCATCTTGCCTATGTAGATGACTTTAGGTGAAGTTGGTAAATCAAGTGTGGTTGCTAGGAGGAATGTTGCTCCTACTATAAACAATGATGACTTCATTAATGATGACAATGACGATGGTGATACGTACCCTTAAGATGAAGAAATAAATAATGAAAACTATGACAGTGATGATGATGTTGTACTTGTATATTATTCTTGTGATGAATCTAATTGACGGTATGTTATAGTTATTATATATCCGGATCGCTTATAATATTGGTTAAATTTTCAAATGTTGCTTATTTATAATTAGCTTTATTATATATTTTGAATGTTTATAATATTTGTCACAACTAGAAATTTTATGTCTTGTAATCACTATACTCAAGTAAATGTTGAAATCAAAAACTCAAAAGCATGTATGATGCTTACTCAATGGAAAACTAAACCCCAATTCACTACATCAAGCAATTGGAAAACCCTAGAAGTTCTTGTTAAGTCCATTTTGGACTAGAACTTCCTTATTGGATCCAAATGGACCAATAAGCTTCCAATTGGACTATCATGGGTTTAGAACCCTAATTGGGCTCTAATTGGACCCACATTCATTTATTTCAATATTATGGACCATATTGGGCCTAGAATGAAATAAATTGAAAGCTTTGATCCATGATTAACCCAATCTAGCTTATTAAAACAAAAATCACAATTTTATTTTATAAGGCCAACTCTAATATTGGGCTTAGGAGCAAAAAGCCCAAATTTTTCCTTCCCCCTTCCATGTTCTCGGCCCAAAGCAAGCCCAAGAGAAGGGTTTGAATTTCTCATGCCACATCACTTTTATCTTTTGGACTTCCATGCAAGAGACTCATGTCTCCATGCAAACCTCACCTCAAACATCATTTCTTCTTCCTCTCTCTCTCACTCTCGGCCGAGCAACACCCACACACACACACACATCTCTCACAAACACTCTCTAGATCACTCAAGGCTTCTTTCTTCTTCTCCATCCAAAATCTCGAGATTTAGGGAGCATTCAAGGAAGTTCTTCCACAAAAATCATCATCTAAGAAAACTCCATAAACTCGAAAACTTCATCAAGGAGTGCAAAGGCCAAAAATCACTTCATTTCTTCCATTCTTTCTTCAAAAAGCGAATCAACACCCAAGGTGAGTTTCATACCCCCTTATTTTCAGTTTTTATAAGTTTTTGTGGGGGAGAATACAAGCAAAGGTGTAGATCCATCATTATGTGTATGTTGTGGTTGATTTCTATGCTTATATATATGTTTTGTATGATTTTGATGCTAGATCTAGTTATGAAATGCTAAAAACCGAGATATGTATTTTATTATAGCATAAAATATACTACTACATGCAAAGTATACTAAGAAAAATAGCCAAATGGCTTGACAACACTTAATTTAGGCTAAAAACTCATTTTTTTGACATAAAATGTTGAAAATACAAAGTTGAAGGGCCTAAAATGAATTATTTCGAAATCTGATGGGTGAGATGAGTCAAAACAGTTTACATAATGTATTTTATGAAAATATACTATTTGGAGGGTTAAAAACATAAATTCCAAGCTTAATGGGCTAAAGATGACATTTTCGGCCCAATGAGGCCCAATATGCGAAATTTTCTGTTTTGGAGGGCCAAAACTGCATTTTTCTGTAAAACAGTGGACTATAAGTGATCCAAGTCCTTTTCAAAGGTTTAGAATGCTTTTTAAATTTAAAGGGGACTAAAGTTGCAAAAAATTTTCAATTTGGGCCAAAATTGTCAAACTTGCGAAAAGATGGGTTATAACCGAGAAAACTGAAATTTCAAGGACTTAAACTGTCTTCAATGAAAAATATGTTGAAAAATATTAATTTCAATAATTTTTGGTA